ATAATATATATAGATAGATATAATATGTTATAATATATAATATGTATATAATGTGTTATAGTATTTATTTGTACAGTCATTGTAGTATATTCCCTTTCCCCATTTGGAGTCCGGTGTGTTCTGTCTGGAAAAACCCCTCCCACATTAGGTTGAGATGGGGAGGGGGGCTAGGACCAGGGAATTGGATTTTGGGGCTACCTCAAACCATGACATAAATGGCTTGGATGTTCCCAGACGGAAGGTGGCAGGACAGGAAGCTCCTGCTGCCCACGGAGACCCCGAGACCCGAAGGCTGCGAGCTCTTTTTCCTGGGAAAAGGGCTGTTGCTCCAGGCCTCGGCTCCAGCAGAGGGCAGAGGATCCCCGCGGACGGGATCGCGTCGCCCTTCCCTCCCCGGGAACAAGAGCGATGCTTTTGCGCCGCTTTTAGATTATTTAGATTATTCAGGTTATTTTTTTAAGCAGCGTTCCGACCCCACCCCTCTCCCCCCTTGATGTGGATTTTAAAAAAATCTAAATTGGGAAAAGCGGCGGCTTCCCTCGGGTGTAAACGGGGAGGGGAAACAGAGGAGGACTTGAGAGAAGGCGGCGCTGCCCGGGGAGGGCGTTCGTCCTCCTCACAACGGAGCTGGGAAGGGCCCGAGAAACCTGCGAGAGAGTTTAAAATGAAAGGAAAAATATGTTTTTATATAATATACGTATATAATATTCTATATTTACATAGTATATATTATAATATTACATATAATATATATACTATATATTGTATATATAGTATATGTATAGTATATATATAGTATATATATAGTGTGTATATATATATAGTATATATAATATATATATAATATTATATAGTATATATATAGTATACGTATATAAATATATGTAAATATATTTATATAATATATAATATATATTTTAAATATATATGTTTATATAATATATATTTTTATGTTTATATAATATATGTATATATGTATATATGCATGTATGTATATATGTATGTATTATATGTTATATGTTATATGTTATATGTTATATATTATATATTATATATAATATATTATATATTATATATTATATATTATATATTATATATTATATATTATATATTATATATTATATATTATATATTATATATTATCATCATCATGGCTAGGTTTTGTGAACGAAGATTTAGGAAGGCTATTATATATAATATATTATATATATTTATATAGATATTATATAATATAAGTACCCATTTTTATAACATACAAAAACATATATAATATATGATTTTCTATAATACATGCCAAAACTCTGAACCCAACCTTATGCAAAAGCAGCTCCTGCCCTCCTTGTTTTCAAACTCTCTGTGAGTGCAGCCTCTGTGCACCCGCTGATTCTTCCTGGTTCTGGGAATTGGGGCCACTGATTCCTCGGGATAAAGGTGGCCGGGACGTTCTGCTCAGAGAATCCCCGAGCGTGGGGTGACATCCAACCCTCGGAGATGGGATTTGTGTAGTGGGGTGACATTGAACCCCCGGAGATGGGATTTGTGTAATGGGGTGACATTGAACCCTCAGAGCTGGGATTTGTGTAATGGGGTGACACCAAACCCTCAGAGCTGGGATTTGTGTAATGGGGTGACATTGAACCCTCAGGGATGGGATTTGTGTAATGGGGTGACACCAAACCCTCAGAGATGGGATTTGTGTAATGGGGTGACACCAAACCCTCAGGGATGGGATTTGTGTAATGGGGTGACATTGAACCCTCAGAGCTGGGATTTGTGCCATGGGGTGACACCAAACCACTGGAGATGGGATTTGTGTAATGGGGTGACACCAAACCCTCGGAGCTGGGATTTGTGTAATGGGGTGACATTGAACCCCCGGAGATGGGATTTGTGTAATGGGGTGACATTGAACCCTCAGAGCTGGGATTTGTGTAATGGGGTGACATTGAACCCCCGGAGATGGGATTTGTGTAATGGGGTGACATCCAACCCTCGGAGATGGGATTTGTGTAATGGGGTGACATTGAACCCTCGGAGATGGGATTTGTGTAATGGGGTGACATCCAACCCTCAGGGATGGGATTTGTGTAATGGGGTGACATTGAACCCTCAGGGATGGGATTTGTGTAATGGGGTGACATTGAACCCTCAGAGCTGGGATTTGTGTAATGGGGTGACACCAAACCCTCAGAGCTGGGATTTGTGCCGTGGGGTGACATTGAACCCCCGGAGATGGGATTTGTGTAACGGGGTGACACCAAACCCTCAGGGATGGGATTTGTGTAATGGGGTGACACCAAACCCCCAGAGATGGGATTTGTGTAATGGGGTGACATTGAACCCTCAGGGATGGGATTTGTGTAATGGGGTGACACCAAACCCTCAGAGATGGGATTTGTGTAATGGGGTGACACCAAACCCTCAGGGATGGGATTTGTGTAATGGGGTGACATTGAACCCCCAGAGCTGGGATTTGTGTAATGGGGTGACATTGAACCCTCAGAGATGGGATTTGTGTAATGGGGTGACATTGAACCCCCGGAGATGGGATTTGTGTAATGGGGTGACATTGAACCCTCAGAGCTGGGATTTGTGCCGTGGGGTGACACCAAACCCCCAGAGATGGGATTTGTGTAATGGGGTGACATTGAACCCTCGGAGCTGGGATTTGTGTAATGGGGTGACATTGAACCCTCAGAGCTGGGATTTGTGTAATGGGGTGACATTGAACCCTCAGAGCTGGGATTTGTGTAATGGGGTGACACCAAACCCTCAGAGCTGGGATTTGTGTAATGGGGTGACATTGAACCCCCGGAGATGGGATTTGTGTAATGGGGTGACATTGAACCCTCAGAGCTGGGATTTGTGTAATGGGGTGACACCAAACCCTCAGAGCTGGGATTTGTGCCGTGGGGTGACACCAAACCCCCGGAGATGGGATTTGTGCCATCATGTGACATCCAATCCAACCACCAGAGCTGGGATTTCTGACGTGGGCTGACTCCGGGAGCTCTGTCTGGATCTGCCATGGAAAAGCTGCACTCCAGACACTCCCGGTTCCCCCCAAACCTCCCGGGGGACGTTTGGGAATCTCTCCCATGAGCTGGGCAGCTGCTCGAGCAGAAAAAGCAGCTGTTCAAAGCATTTCCAAAAAATCTGAGGCTGAAACACCTTCCCAAAGTGCTTATCTCTGCCCTGAATTGATCCACCTCCAAAGCCCCCTGGGATTTGACTGTTTGCAGCTGAGGAACCCCGGAGGTCCCTGCAAGGGCTGGATCAGTGGGAGAAACAATCCCAGGGAGGAGGAGGGCGATGATAGTGAGGGTTCAGTTAACTGAACCCTCTGTCTACTGCTCGAGCAGAAAAAGCAGCTGTTCAAAGCATTTCCAAAAAAGCTGAGGCTGAAACACCTTCCCAAAGTGCTTATATCTGCCCTGAATTAATCCACCTCCAAAGCCCACTGGGATTTGACTGTTTGCAGCTGAGGAGCCCCGGAGGTCCCTGCAAGGGCTGGATCAGCGGGAGAAACAATCCCAGGGAGGAGGAGGGCGATGATAGCGAGGGTTCAGTTAACTGACCCCTCTGCCTACGTGAGGCCCCCCCGCCCCACACGTGCTCAGGGTGTGTCTGCCGGGCCTGGGAGACCCTCAGATACCAACGGGCTCCTCCTGAGGGCCCCTTATCTGCCCGAGCAAAGCCTTCCCTTCTATCGGGCCCTGGAGAGACACTCAACTGTCTCCCAACTGCTCTGATGGGATGATAAGCCCGGAGGAGCCTTCGCTGCTGCTCCAGCCGGGCTGGGAAAGCTCCAGAGCCTCAGGGAGCTGCTGTGGGGCAGGGAGAGCAGCAAAACAGTGGGGCCAACGGGCCAGGGAAGCGATTCTTGCCCTGGGCTCGGCCCTCCGGGGAAAAAGAACTGATGGAGGGCAGAGAAACGGGGGCGAGAAGTTGCAGCGGGGTCATAAATGCAAAGGTTGGAGGGGGAAAAGCGTGATCCGAGGGCTTCCCTCCTGTTCCACGGGGACACCCACTGGGAAAACCCCTCCTTTTGGGGCCACCTGGCTGCGGGTGACACGGCAGAACGTCCAGAAACGGGCTTTGGCCGAGCTGGGAAGAGGCAGGACGGGATAACTCGAGGCCCTGGGATCCAAGGCCACGGGTGGGACGGGAGCTCTGGAGCCGGGCTGGGTCCTGCTCGGCCCCCCAAAGGTGCTACCAGAGCTACCAGCTCTGCCCACACCTTCCGGGAGCCGCCTCCAGATGGTGCTCCGGCCGGTTTTCCGGGATCGGAAGGGATTCCGCTGCCTCACCGGCGGCTCTGCCGGGCGAGGAAGGAGGGAGGAGCTGCCTCAGCCCAGCGGCTCCTCCGCTGGAAACCCCCGGGAACGAGCCCCAGACGAGGTGCCCGTAGGAAAGGAGAACTTTGGGTTCAGAACCTTGGGTTCGTTTTGTCCGCTTTGCTTTATAAAGGACCCAGAAAGCAGCAGCTCTGTTGTCACCGCGCCGGGCTCGTCCAGCCCTGGCGAGTCCCGGCCGAGAAAACCAGTCCCTGGGTGTTTCTTTAACGACCCACAGCACCCAAAACCCCCCGGATGATGAGCCCGAGTTGCCCGGGGGTGGGATCTGTGACTCTGTGACTCTGTGACCGAGCCAGGGATGGCACCGAGGACCCTCCTGCTCCTCCTGGAGATCCCACCAATTAACCCTCCACCCCTCCCGTGGATCCCCCAGGGAACCTCCTCCCCACGCCTGGACTAAATCCTGCTGCTCCCTCCCCGAGGGAGCAAAAAGGGTTAAAAAAGAAACCGGAGCGATTTTGTGGAGAGTGGGAAGAGTTGGGGGGGTCAAAGAGCAAAACGTTCCCGGAGGGATATTCCTGCAGGGCACCTGGGGAGTCACCACACGGGTGACTCCTGTTCGGAGGAATCGAAACCCCGAGAGGAAAATTAACCCCGCCCAGGCCAGATTAACCCTGGCATTCGAAATCTGGGACAATCTTCCAGCGATCTCTTTTAGTTTTTATTATTTTTTTACAGGGATGAGGAAACGGGGATGTTACTTTGGGAAAGGCTGAGGTCCCTCAGCAGCTGAGGTGGTGCAGGATGTGCTGTCAGAGGCGGCATCCCACGGAAAACTCCTTGCTGGTGCCATTCCCAGTGCTGGAAACACGAGGATTCCCCGTGCCCCCCCATACAAGTGGTGTAGGGACAGAGAACAGGGCTAATGAAGAGCCTTTTTTTTAATGATGTGGTGTTATTTTTCAATCCCTCCATCCCACGGGGGTTTTCTCCCCTTTTGCAGGGCAAGAACAGCTCCAGCTGCTCGTTTTCCGGGGGGGATCCGAGCGCTGGGAAGGGGCAAAGGCTCTTTCACACCGAAGAAAAGCTGAGGAATGGTGGGATCTGCCAGGAATGGTCCGGGCTGCCCCAGCACCTGAGCCCAGGAGACTTCCCAGAGCCTGGTGGTGCCCAGGGGGTGAGCAGGGCAGCCCTGGCAGCCTCGGGCACAGAGAACTCTGCAAAGTGTGCGGGAAAACAAGCGGAGGCTGAACAGAAACCCCTCGCTCAGCACTTGGGGGCCGCTCTGGGCCCGTTTCTCCCTTCCCCGAGGCAGCTTCACCTCCCCTCTGCTTCGCAGAGCTCTGAGGACTCCACCAGGTCTGCCAAACGAGCTCCTTCCCCTGCCCAACCCACTCTTCCTTCAGCCCTTATCTGCCCTTACCTGTCTCCACTGGGTCGCTTTAAAAGTCCCAGACACTTCCTTCCTTTGTTTGCCTCGGCCCCAAAGGGAAATGTCTTGTGTGTCAAAGGTTTAGTGCAGGTTCCTGTCCGAGCTCTTTGCTACCCCCGGCCCCAGCAAATCGAACTTCTTCTCCCAGCTGGGGGTTTGCACAGGGGGTCAGACTCTCTGCCCGCGTTCCTCCCTCTCCTGCCTCCACGTGGGATTGTCAAACCCGGGGGTTAAATCCCTCCTGGCTCCTGCAAATTGGGGGTGGAAAAGAAGTTCTGGGCTTCGAATGAATTTGCCCAGAGCCAGAGTTTCTCCGGGGTTGTGCCGCTGTCCCAGCTCTCCTTTCTCTGGAGGGAAAATCATCTGGGCTCAGAGACCCAAAGCAGGACAGAGGGGTGGGCAGGAGGCACGGCCTTGGTGAGCTTTGCCTGGGCTGAGCTGAGGACTGTGAGGAAGAATTTCCTCGTGGAAAGGGTGGTCGGGCTCTGGAAGGGGCTGCCCAGGGAGGTTTGGAGTCCCCATCCCTGGAGGTGTCCAAGGAAGGCCTGGCCGTGGCACTCAGGGCTCTGGGCTGGGGGACAGGGTGGGCATCGGGCACAGGGGGGACTCGGTGATCCCGGGGGGCTTTTCCAGCCTCAGCCATCCTGGGATTCTGTGCCTGCAGTGCCCTTTCCCAGGGCCCACAGAGGGAGCCTGGCAGCTCCTGTCACCCTGGCAGAGTGAGTGAGCCCGGGACGTGTCCCACGGAGAATCCCCTTTCCCTGCCAGCCCCGTGGTTTGCTGAGGGGCAGAGACAGGGTGAGGAGGAGAACGGGGTGAGGAGGAGAACGGGGTGAGGAGGAGCAGAACAGGGTGAGGAGGAGAACGGGGTGAGGAGGAGAATGGGGTGAGGAGGAGAACGGGGTGAGGAGCAGAGACAGGGTGAGGAGCAGAACAGGGTGAGGAGCAGAGATGAGGAGCAGAGACAGGGTGAGGAGCAGAACAGGGTGAGGAGCAGAGATGAGGAGCAGAGACAGGGTGAGGAGCAGAGACAGGGTGAGGAGAACGGGGTGAGGAGCAGAGACAGGGTGAGGAGCAGAGATGAGGAGCAGAGACAGGGTGAGGAGCAGAACCAGAGTGAGGAGCAGCACCAGGGTGAGGAGGAGCAGCACCAAGGTGAGGAGCAGAGACAGGGTGAGGAGTAGAAGGAGGGTGAGGAGCAGAAGGAGGGTGAGGAGCAGAACCAGGGTGAGGAGCAGAAGGAGGGTGAGGAGCAGAAGGAGGGTGAGGAGCAGAACAGGGTGAGGAGCAGAACAGGGTGAGGAGCAGAACAGGGTGAGGAGGAGCAGAAGGAGGGTGAGGAGGAGCAGCACCAGGGTGAGGAGCAGCAGAACCAGGGTGAGGAGGAGCAGAACAGGGTGAGGAGCAGCACCAGGGCCGGGCGGTTCAGCAGCCCCAGGTGCACCCCCAGAGCGGATTTTGGGGCTCAGGAAGGGCTGGGCCCACCCACCACAAGCCGAGCACGCGGGCGGCACTTCAGTTGGGAGCTCCTTGATGTGAGAGCTGAGCTCCCCCCTCTCCTCCTCCTCCTCCTCCTCGCGGTCGCGGGAGCAGCACCTGCCCGCGGGGGGAACCCGGTGCCAGCAGCTGCCAAAACCACAGCCCGGGCGATGCCAGCCCGCTCTCCCTCGCTGCGCTGCATCAAAACACAACCCCCCCGGGCTGACCACACCCCAAACCCCAAACCCCCCGGGCTGTTCTCACCCCAAACCCCCCCGGGGCTGCTCTCACCCCAAACCCCCCCGGGCTGCTCTCACCCCAAACCCCCCGGGGCAAACAGGAAGCCGCGAGCAAAGCGGGAAAGAGCGAGAGAGCTCGGGGTGACCCCAGGAACGTGTGTCCCCCCCCCCCCCGGGCAACACCTGCGGGGAGAGGGGGTTGGCAGGTAAACACGGGGGTTCACCTGGGCAGAGGATGCCCCTGGAACGGGGATCCGAGGCGGGGGGGGGGAGCTGAGCGCTGGCGTTGCCCTCCCCGAGCTCTGGGCCCACGTTAAACGGCAGGAACGGCGGTTCAGGTGCAGCTGCTGGAGCTGCCGTTGGAGCCGGGGGGGGGGGTAAAAAGGGGTTGGAGGTGTCGTGGTTTGGAGCAGGCTCCACACCGAGTCCCCCAACCCACTCCAAAAAGCCCTTTTCCCTTATTAAAGGAAAGGGAAAAAAAGGGGAAAAAAAAAAACCCAACAACAAAGAACCTGATATAAACCGAACTAAAACAATACATATATATATATATTTAGGATTATTTAGTTACAAAAACGCTATACACGTATAAGAAAAGAGAAGCCCAACCCCCCAAAAAACAGAAAAACAGATATACCCAACCAATAAAGAACTAACGAAGCAAAATTTTAATGCTTTCCTCAAGAAGACAAAAGACACTCCACCAGATCTCTCCACTCGGATCAGAAACCTTCCCTTCCCTTCCCTTCCCTTCCCTTCCCTTCCCTTCCCTTCCCTTCCCTTCCCTTCCCTTCCCTTCCTTCCCTTCCCCCTTCCCTTCCCGGCCCAACCGGCACCAAACCGCCCAAAACCGGCACAAAACTGGCCAAAACCTGCCAAACCGGCCCTTCCCAAACCGTTCCGGCCCGGCCCCAAAACCCGGCAGCCCAAACCGGGCCGCCCAAACGTCCCTGCCCAACCGCCCAACGGCCCAAACCTGCCTCGGCCCAAAACCGGCCCGGCCTATAACCTGCCCTGCCCAAACCTGCCCTGCCCTGCCCTGCCCTGCCCAAACCTGCCCAAACCTGCCCTGCCCAAACCTGCCCTGCCCAAACCTGCCCTGCCCAAACCTGCCCTGCCCAAACCTTCCCTTCCCAAACCTTCCCACACCTTCCCAAACCTTCCCTTCCCTTCCCAAACCTTCCCTTCCCAAACCTTCCCTTCCCAAACCTTTCCTTCCCAAACCTTCCCTTCCCAAACCTTCCCTTCCCAAACCTTTCCTTCCCAAACCTTCCCTTCCCAAACCTTTCCTTCCCAAACCTTCCCTTCCCAAACCTTCCCACACCTTCCCACATCTGTGTGTTTTCAGAGTGTTTCTCTGCTCCGAGCTCCTCATTCCCGGAATTCCCAGCCGCGGGATCTCCCCGGGTCCTGCCCGTTGGGGACATTTCGGGGCGCTTTGGGTCCGTCCCAAAGGCACAGCGGGGGGTTCTGTGCTGGCATCCCAACATCCCGGTGCAGGGATTGCTGCCCCTCTCCCTGCAGGATCCACCCCGGGGACATTCCTGCCCCTGGGGACATTCCTGCCCCCGGGGACATTCCTGCCCCCGGCTCTCCCCCCCCAGGGCCCACCCCGGCACAGGGGCTCCAAAAGCGGGCGGGGAATTTTTTCTCGTGCCGTTTTCCTGCGAGTTTTGAAGTCAGGCCCTCCCTGTCCCGGCATCTCATCCCTCCTCTTCGCAGCTGCTTCTCATTTCTTCTCATTTCCCAGCCGTGGCCTTCCCGTTTGGTTGGATTCGTATTTTTTTTCAATCATTTTTGGGGTTGTTTTTTTTGGGGGGGGGGGTGTTTCAGCAGCTGCACACGATTCTCCCCCCGCGCCCATCACTATATTTAGCCCTCCAGACAGGCCAAACAAACGAGCAGGGCTGGGGTTAATCATCCCCAAATGGGGCTCAGCTGTGCCTGAACTGGGATTTACTGGGACCGGGGCCAGGCGGGATCCTCCTCACGCCCTGGCTGTGGAATCGCCCACCGGGGCCCGGCCTCTCCAAAAGGGGAGAAATCATCTAAAATGCCTTTTCTCGGGCTCACACCCGGGCTGGGAGGTGGCTCTGCGGGCGGGTGAGGCCTCCAGGGAGGTGCTGGAGGGGCACTGGGGGTGTGGGTGATGCCTCCTCCACCCCTAAACCGGGATTAGGGGCGGGTTTAACCCTCCCGTGCCCCTCCCTGGGGCTGCTGGGGGGGCTGGGTGCTTTCCTGAAGGACCTCCTTCAACACCGGGCACCTTCCAAGCTTGTTATCCAAAGGTTTTCCAAAACCCACCCGTCCCCCTCTGCACCAAACACCACCTCAGACCTGCCCCAGCCTCGTTATTCCCGGGAACAGCAGCTCTGGAGTTCCCACGGGATGAACAGGACACTGCTCATCCCAAAAATGGTTTGGCTGGGAAGGGACCCCAAAGCTCTTCTGCACGTTTTGTTTTCCAAGCACCTGCAGCTCCTCGGACACGTTGGATGCTCAGCATCCAAAAAAAACCCACATATTTCGGTCGCTCTTTGCTGTGTTTTAATCCAAAAGCCTCTGGCCGAGTGAAAAGGGAAAATAAAACAGGGGAGAAGACAAAGAATGTTTTGGGGAAAAAAACCCCAAAAAACAACCCACATGATGTAACAACTGGTAAATCCCCAAAGGTATCAAATCAGATCTAGGGCCCAAATTTTATAGAGCTCCAAATCTGAGTGGCCAAATGGTGACAGTTCCACGCCCTGTCTTGGCTTTCCCAAGGGTCCTTCCAGCCAAAAACTGAGGGAAACGCTCCCTCGGAGAGCCGGAGACACAAAATCCTCCTCTGCTTTATCCAGCTCTTGGCCTGTCCCGCAGGGAAATGCCCCATTTGCCTTTGCCCTCGGGTGTCTCCGATGGAGATTTGGGACAGATCCACCTCCCACAGCTCCAGGAACCTCCTGAGATCCCCCCCTGAACCCCCTCCCGGAGCCGGAGCTGCCCCAGGACACCCGTTGGGCTCTCGGGTTGGTCGAACAGGAGCTTTCCCGGTCCCTTCACCTTTGGAACACAAAGATTTTCTTTTAATCTCTCCCTCCCGGGAGGCTTTGGGTCTGTCCCCCTAATTAGCCAGGGTTGCCTCCCTTCCTCACACATGGAAATGTCTCTTTGTCGAGCAGGGCAGGGGCTCTCATCTCCCCCCGGCCTTTGAACGGCTCCGCTTTTGGCTTGTGGTGGTTCCTGCTCATTCCTGCCCGTCCTTCCACCCCACCTGCAAATAATCCAAACATCCAAGGAGGGAAAAGTTTGTGGCTCCTCAGCCAGACCCGGCCCAGCCCCTGGAGCAGGAGAGTGACCCCGTCCTGGGCACTCAGCTCTGCCTGGTTGCCCAGCTCCCTCCTGGGCACACCAGCTCCGGCTCCGGGAGGGGGTTCAGGGGGGGATCTCAGGGGGTTCCTGGAGCTGTGGGAGGTGGATCTGTCCCAAATCTCCATCGGAGACACCCGAGGGCAAAGGCAAACGGGGCATTTCCCTGCCCCACAGGCCAAGAGCTGGATAAGCCAGAGGAGGATTTTGGGCCTCCCGGCTCTCCGAGGGAGCGTTTCCCTCTTCCAGTTGTTGGCTGGAAGGACCCTTGGGAAAGCCGAGGCAGAGGGTGGAACTGTCATCATTTCCCCTCGGGATCTTTCCCCTCGGGATCTTTATTTCCCCCCCCTCCTTTTTTTTTTTCCTGTTTCAGGATATCAGGTTCTTTTCTCTGAGAACAGAGGCAGAAAAATCCCAAAAACAGGGTGGTTTTTTTTTTTAACCTGTGGGGACTTCTCCAGGACTGGCATCACGTGGCTTTTAGAGGTGGGAAGAGGATGTTCTTCCATGCTCCCTCTTCCCCACTGCCACTGTTCCCGTTGGCATTAAAGGATAATCAGTGGATTATCCTGGCTGGAAAGAGCCAGGACAGGTTGACTGTGATTCCCAACCCCAGAGCTCTGCTCCCTCTTCCCCACTGCCACTGTTCCCGTTGGCATTAAAGGATAATCAGTGCCTGGGCTGGAAACTTTAATTAGAAATTCAATCACAGCTGGAGACTGTGATTCCCAACCCCAGAGCTCGGCTCTCAGGAGGGTTCCTGTGCTCTCTGCACAAAGCAGGGCAGCTTTAGGGGAAGAGGTGGAGTCCATCCCTTCGGAAGGCTCCCGGGAGGATTCTCCTGGCTGCTGGAGGTTTTCCTTCCCCTGGACAGAGGCAGAGCCCAAAGCCACGTGGTTGGAAGGGACAGGCAGGAAGAGCAGCACCGTCCTCCTCCTGGGGCTGAACCCTGAGGACAAGGGCCCTCAGAAAGGGGAAGGGCCCTCAGGAAGGTCCCTCAGAAAGGTCCCTCAGGAAGGTGAAGGTGCCTCAGAAAGGTCCCTCAGAGAGGTGAAGGACCCTCAGGAAGGTGAGGGTGCCTCAGAAAAATGAAGGTGCCTCAGGAAGGTGAAGGTGCCTCAGAAAGGTGCCTCAGAAAGTTGAAGGTCCCTCAGAAAGGTCCCTCAGGAAGGTGAAGGTGCCTCAGAGAGGTGAAGGTCCCTCAGAGAGGTGAAGGTGCCTCAGAGAGATGAAGGTCTCTCAGAAAAATGAAGGTCCCTCAGAAAGGTGAAGGTCCTTCGGAAAGCTGAAGGTCCCTCAGGAAGGTCCCTCAGAAAAGTGAAGGTCCCTCAGAAAGGTCCCTCAGGAAGGTGAAGGTCCCTCAGGAAGGTGAAGGTCCCTCAGAAAGGTCCCTCAGAAAGGTCCCTCAGGAAGGTGAAGGTCCCTCAGGAAGGTGAAGGTGCCTCAGAGAGGTGCAGGCCACCACCCTGGGGAGGGTTTGGGGGTGGGAATTCCAGGTGGAAGGAGCCACCTCCCGAGAAGACTCAAGCACTGGAGGACAGTCCCTGGGGTCTCCCCCACCCTCCCGCCTCCCTTCTCGCTCTCCCCATCCCCATCCAGGCCCAGGTTGGGCTCCCCCCACCAGGGTGGGATGTTTGGAGCTGCAAAACCAACCGTGGTGGCCCCCAATTCCCACCAGATCCAGTGGGTGATGCTCCACCTGCATCCTCGTGTTTTCCAAGCACCTGCAGCTCCTCGGACACGTTGGATGCTCAGCACCCAAAAAACCCACATATTTCGGTCGCTGTGTTTTAATCCAAAAGCCTCTGGCCGAGTGAAAAGGGGGGATAAAACAGGGGAGAAGACAAAGAATGTTTCTGGGAAAAAAAACCCAAACAACCCACAGGATATAATAACTGGCAAATCCCAAAGGTATCAAATCAGATCTGGGGCCCAAATTTCATGGAGTTGCAAGTCTG